CCATACCTGAGTTCTACCACACTAATACAATAACACAGACACCCATACCTGAGTTCTGCACACTAATACAGTAACAGACATCCATACCTGAGTTCTACCACACTAATACAATAACACAGACACCCATACCTGAGTTCTACACACTAATACAATAACACAGACACCCATACCTGAGTTCTACACACTAATACAGTAACAGACATCCATACCTGAGTTCTACCACACTAATACAATAACACAGACACCCATACCTGAGTTCTACACACTAATACAATAATACAGACACCCATACCTGAGTTCTACACACTAATACAGTAACACAGACACCCATACCTGAGTTCTACACACTAATACAATAACACAGACACCCATACCTGAGTTCTACACACTAATACAGTAACAGACACCCATACCTGAGTTCTACACACTAATACAGTAACACAGACACCCATACCTGAGTTCTACACACTAATACAGTAACAGACACCCATACCTGAGTTCTACACACTAATACAGTAACAGACACCCATACCTGAGTTCTACACACTAATACAGTAACACAGACACCCATACCTGAGTTCTACACACTAATACAGTAACACAGACACCCATACCTGAGTTCTACACACTAATACAGTAACAGACACCCATACCTGAGTTCTACACACTAATACAGTAACAGACACCCATACCTGAGTTCTACACACTAATACAGTAACAGACACCCATACCTGAGTTCTACACACTAATACAGTAACAGACACCCATACCTGAGTTCTACACACTAATACAGTAACACAGACACCCATACCTGAGTTCTACACACTAATACAGTAACACAGACACCCATACCTGAGTTCTACACACTAATACAGTAACAGACACCCATACCTGAGTTCTACACACTAATACAATAACACAGACACCCATACCTGAGTTCTACACACTAATACAGTAACAGACACCCATACCTGAGTTCTGCACACTAATACAGTAACAGACACCCATACCTGAGTTCTCACACACTAATACAGTAACAGACACCCATACCTGAGTTCTACACGCTAATACAGTAACAGACACCCATACCTGAGTTCTACACACTAGTACAGTAACAGACACCCATACCTGAGTTCTACACACTAATACAGTAACAGACACCCATACCTGAGTTCTACACGCTAATACAGTAACAGACACCCATACCTGAGTTCTTCCAGGGCTGTATTGAAACTTTTTGAGCAGGTAGCACTGGTGCTGTGTTTTTTAGCATATACATTTCATACAATTCTACTTATAAATATCTATGAAAGTGGAACAAATAGTTGATTATAAAACAGAAGCATCATGTAAAACGTTGTTTGTTTTTTAATATTTTTTTATTTATTTTATCCGCAGTAACTTTGCTGAGTGTTTACTCCCTAAAGGTACGGCTCATTGTCATTTATGTCCCGTGATCTTTCTGCAGGCAAATGGCCAAATCTTAAATTGTCACTGGCTTTCCATGCGATATTAATGCCTTAAATGAAACAGTTTATGGGTATTTTGTACTTTGCAACAGCTTTGTTTATAAACGTTTAAATGGCGTTCCAGTTTCCTGAAGGACCGCAACTCCCATAAACACTAGACCGCACGTTGCAGCTTGAATGACCACACCTGAACAGATGACTTAAGGTGCAGGGAAACGCTTGATATTGCGCAAGCGTCGTATTTAGTAGAGCTCACCATTAATATAACTGCAGTTTCCATTATCACTTGTACTGGACGGCATATTTGAATAGGGATGAATACAGCGTACACAGAAAGGTGCAGCACAGACAGGCAGCTCTGATCTTTCATTCGTTTGGTCCGACGCTGTTGTCACTTTTTACTGTGACGTGTGTTTTCTGATATTTTCTGACATTAAGCCTGACAGCCGTCGCGATCGCTGCAGTCTGCGGTCGTCAGTGGGCTCCAGCCCGGCGTCTGAGGGGACTGTCTGGTTGCTGTAGTGTGAAATGCTGCTGTAGAAGATCAGCAGCAGGTTTCTGTTTCGCTCTCGGGCTGAACCGGGCGCTTCACTGGAGAGGCTGGGGTGTGTCTGTGTGTCTGAGAGGCAGATGGGGGACTGAGTCTGCACTCTGAGGGCTTTGAGAGTGAAATCACAGCTTAGCTCACCTCACTGTGATTTGGGGTCATCGGTCCTTCGTCCCGCCCTTCACTGCACATTTCGCTGTGTTGGAGAAAATGACTGTTAGATTGAATCAGCAAAATCACATTTTTCCCTTGTTTACTTGTCAAATATTGGAAAATATATCAAATTTTAAATCAGACGTTGTTTTTTGAAGAAAATAAGGAAGCAGATACGCAACAGTCAATGTTCTGTTTCCTAAACCCTCCAGCATAAATTATCAGGTGAGCCCAGAGCTCCCTGGGGGAGGCTGCTCCCTGCGAGACTGGTGGGCTAGTTATTGATTACTCTCTAATTTACAAAAATAATGTGTGTAAATTATGTATAAACGATGCAAAAACTGCCTACCTTTGTATTATGTTAATTTTAATCATTTAGCCTTTCTGTTTCTTTAATATATTTATTTTTGCTTGTCCGGTCTGGGTGGGTGCTTTTCAGTCACAGTTTGTGTCCGTATTTTTCCAAGCTGTTTATTCATTATTGATTTTTGCTGTTTTGTGTTTTGTATTAAGCTTAAAAGTTCAGTAACGGGCTGCAGTAATTGGCTTCACTGTCCAGTGATTTTTAGCATACTGCGCTACAGAGCGTTAACTTTCGGAGTGTTAGCTTGTGAGAAAAGCTCTGTGGGGCGGATCAAACGGGTTAATCCACGCGAGGACACGTCTGTGCATTATTCACTGTATTAAATAAGTAAACGTAACGGCTCGTTCAGACCGACTGAGCTGCTGTAAAACCTGCCTGATGTTTGCAGATAGTGTACAAAACGGTGTGTAATAACCATAAAGCTGCATGAAGCTAAAACTAATTTTTGGTTTGTGGTCAGCAGTGCTACGTTTGGTAGTCGTCGTTTGGGAAGGTGACTGTTTGGCCTGGAACACGTCAGCAGAGGGAGCTTGAAACATGGATGAGTTCTGCCTTATTTTGATCAGATTCAGCGAATGCTGAATTTTATTCAGTCCCACTGGGCGGTGTGTGAGTATGTGGAGGTGTAGAGAGGGAAGCCTCACCCAGACTGTCTTGTTTTGCTTCTTTATCTGGATCGATAACCTTTGCAGTGCTACTTCTCATCTGTTTTGAAGGCCCTCAGCAGTGCTTGAGGAAAGAAGGCTTTTTCAGAGAGTGTATAGGGCAAAGCCGAGCCTCCGGCGCTCGTCTGACTGCAATCCTGCTGTTCTGGCTCACTTTTACTACGTTCTGAAAAAATATGTGGTGGGTGACACCACAAATACCATCTGCTCTCCATAATTCTCTGAAGACAACGTGTCGCATTCACGAAGGGCTGGCGCTGATGTAGGTTAAGCGTGTGCTTCGAGTGCAAAGTTTCCGAACGTTTAGAGCAGAACGTATCCCAGTGTAGGTGTGTTCCTCTGTCAGAGCCCCTCAAACAGTTCTGGGCTGCGTCTCTCCTGTTAATCAGATACAGAGATGAGTTCGGACAGCCAGACCAAACATCACTCCTCTATGAGCTTGTTGGACGTCCCGTTCCTAAACCATGGGCATTAATATGGAGTTGGTCCCCCTTTGCAGCTCTAACAGCTTCCACTCTTCTGGGAAGCTTCTACAGGATGTTGGAGAGTCTGTGGGAATCTGTGTCCATTCAGTCTAAAGAGCATTTGTGAGGTCAGACACTGATGTTGGACGAGGGGGTCTGGCTCACAATCTCCGTTCTAGATCATCGCAAAGGTGTTCAGTGGGGTTGAGGTCAGGGCTCTGTGAGGCCACTGGAGTTCCTCCACACCAAACTGGTCACTCCATGTCTTTATGGAGCTGCTTTGTGCTCAGGGTCTCAGTCCTGCTGGAACAGGAAAGGCTCTTCCCCAAACTGCTGACACAAAGCTGGAAGCAGATAACTGTGTAAAATGTCTTTGTGCTGCAGCATCAACATCACCCTTCACTGGAACTGAGGAGCCCAAACCCTGAACAACAGCCCCGCCCATCATCCCTCCTCCACCAAACTGTACTGTTGGCTCTGCGTTCCGGTAGGGAATGTTCTCCTGACCTCCACCAGGAGACACTGGGGAGGCACTTTCATGGCATTAAGCTTTAACTTGAATGTTATCACTTCCTTTCCTCCCATGTCTGCTTTAGTGTTAGGGTCCGTCTCCAAAGTTACAGAAGGAAAAGTGTTGCTGCCCTATTATTACTGTTATTATCATTGCTAATGTAGTAGAAGTACATTTGGGGGATTTTTCTGACCGCTATTGTGTCCAAGGAGACCAGTCTCTCCACTTTTACACTGGCCTTGAGGGTTGAACGCTAAATGTAGTGGCCTGACTGCCAGTTGGTTGTGATTGTGCTGTCATGTACAATACAGGTGTGAAATACAGGGGGTACTGGGGGGGTCTGGCACCTTCTAATTAACCTCTTGGACCCCCTGAATATCTCAAAGTTCTGCGGGTCCCTAACCTATTATGATGTTATGCTGTCCTATAGAAACGCTTACATACAGATTTAGTGAAGCTGATTGTTTATCTGCTTCTCCCACAGTCAGCTTCTGACTTTGGTGTTCTTAACTAACTAGAGCTGCAGCTCTGCTCTGCCTCAGGGTGGCGCTGTAGCAGACCGGTTCACCCAGTTGGTCCTTCATAGCCTAGAAACTGTAACTCTGCCCGGATTCCTCTGAAAAACTTTACAATGAGCTGCAGCAGATCTGTAAATCTGAAAACTCGCCCAGTTTCCCAAGAGTTTGGAGTGAAGAGTGGCGATAATGCTAACTTCAGCTAGCGTCCCTGTGGGATTTTAGTAGTTAGTTAGCACAAAGCTAACGGAGATACGTTTGAATGCTGTCGTCACTTTCCCTCCTCATGTGCCTCTGGGCTTCTTTCTCCAGGCCAACGGTCCCACCGAAAGATGTGTCCCAGCAGAACTCTGAGTTGGACGAGTTGTGGGACGAGCTCAGCCAGGACGAGGGGTCTTTCTACGGCGCCTCCCCTCCCCGCACCCCCCGCCAGATGAAACGCATGTCTGGCAAACACCAGAGAGGCACCCAGAGCAGAGCTGCAGGGCGCTCGCCCATCAAAGGTAAGAGGTCTTACTTCCTCCCACCCAGCCACGCTTCGGTTATTTTGGTCCTGCTGTTGCAAGCAGGGTTTTCAGGCTGCATCTCAGCCCAACATACCAAAGAAAGTTAGCGTAGAGCTAAGCTGACTCTAACCTGGGGAGAGAGTCCCGCTGATCCTCCCTGCGGGCGGCGTTCTCAGAAAAAGGTAATAAATAAGACTGAATAAAATGTGCTCACAATGTTTTAATGACTTTACCTTGAAACGCTGAGTGGTAATGAGAGTCAGACCCCCCCGTGTCTGATTTACTGAGCACAGTCTGCAGCGTTTCTGTGCAGAGTAAGTGCTGAATTATGAAAACACTGCTGTAATGACGTTTTTAATGTGGAAAGCTTTCAGCAGTCTGAGCGCTGTTAGTGCACAGGTCGCCACAAACCTGTAGAAAGCGCTACTGAGCGCACATGTTTGTAGCAGCGTAAAAGATCTTGGGCTGCTCAGTGTGACATTATTAAATATGTGTATCTTATTAAAGATTTTCATTAAAAAAAATCATATTTAAGAATTCATTTGAATTGAAAGAGCAGAAAGTAGGTCAAAGCTGCGGGCGCGGAGGGAAGAGGGCGCGGAGGGAAGAGGGCGAGGGGGAGGGCGAGGGGGAGGGCGGGGGGGTTGATGCTCTCAATAGTCGCCAATTTATTAACCAGAAAATATTGTGCTAATTATTTTTAGATATGACCTGCCCTACATACACACAGACATACGTACCGTTTTCCTTCCTGTAAATACTCTGTTCTCAATCTGATGTGATACATCTGCACGTCAGTTATTGGGGTAATATTAATACAGTTATTGAGGTAGATTAATATAGTTATTGAGGTAATATTAATGCATTTATTGAGGTAATATTAATGCATTTATTGAGGTAATATTAATGCATTTATTGAGGTAATATTAATGCGTTTATTGAGGTAATATTAATGCATTCAGTGAGAAAAATAATACATTTATAGAGGTAAATTAGTGCATTTATTGAAATTAATGAATTAATTTGCAAAGCTTTTTTTTTACCATTTTAAAAATTTCAGATGAACATTGAAGTTTCTGTTATTGTTTCCTCTGCAGAGAAGAGTCCCTCCGGCGCCTCGTCCCAGAGAGAGCGCGAGGGAGCCAAACCGTCTGAGTCCGCCGAGGAGGTCAGTTACAGGCAAGGCAAGAAGCAGCGGTCCAACCTGCGTTCTACCGAACGGGACAAAAAGAAGACTTTTGAGGGCTCCTTTATGTTGGACCCCCTCTCCAAGTCTGGTCCCTTCAGCACAGTCAGCATGGACCCCAGGAAGCCCTACCTGAGCTTGGGATGCAGCTCCAGCAAGCTCCCCGTCAACATGCCCCACCCTCTGCCCCGCACCCACCGCCAGACCTCGCGGACCGACTGTCCGGCCGACCGCCTGAAATTCTTCGAGACGCTGCGTCTGCTGCTGAAGCTGACGTCCATGTCGTCCAAGAAGAAGGAGAAGGAGCAGCGGGGCCTGGAGAACACGGCCTTCATGGGCCAGAACAACGAGGTGATCTGGCTGGAGCTGCAAGCCTGGCACGCGCGGCGCAGCATCAACGACCAGGACCTGTTCCTCTACACGGCCCGCCAGGCTATTCCGGACATCATCAACAAGGTGTTGCACTTCAAAGTGGACTACAGCTGCCTAGCCCCACCTGAGGCTCCGCTCGAGTCAGTCCAAAGAGACTCCTGCCCGGGAGCGTCTAACTGTGGGACCTGCCCCGGCTCCTGGGCCGAGGTAGACACCGTGGCCCTGCCGGGCTCGGGTTCGGCGTGCAGGGAGCACTTGCAGAGACAGCGACTGGCCTTTGAGCAGGTGAAGGGCGTGATGGGCCTGCTGGAGTCTGTAGAAGCCCTCTACCCGTCGCTGCAGACTCTGCAGAAGGACTACGAGAAGTACGCGGCGCGGGACTTCCAGGGCAGGGTGCAGGCGCTCTGCGTGTGGCTCAATATCACTCAGGACCTGAACCAGAAGCTGCGTGTGATGGGCACCGTGCTGGGCCTCCGAGACCTCTCCCGTATCGGTTGGCCCATCTTTGAAATACCTTCGCCCCGCTGCTCTCGCGGCGGCGACGAACAGGACGAGGAGGACGAGAACAACTCCACGGCGACCTTCACGGCGGACAGCGACGTGGAGGAGGTCGAGATGGGCGAGGCTGAAGCCAAAAGGGACGCAGTGACTTGCCTCACGCCCAAGTTTGCTCGTCTGTTGTCCGAGGAGTTGATCCCGGCGTTCAGCGGCGAAAGCCAGTACTGCCCAACAGCCATATACAGGCCCTTTGTGGACAAGGCACTGAAGCAGATGGGTCTGCGCAAACTCATCCTGCGACTGCACAAGCTGATGGACCGCTCACTGCAGAGGTCCAGGACTGCACTGCTGAGCCACGCGCCCACTCAAGAGGTGAGCGCACTGTCGTGGGGCTCTAGGATACGGTTGTTTTTGCTGTTGGAGAGTCAGGTTGGATGATTTGGGGAAAACATCTAAATTATGATTTTTACAGGTGCAAATTAAATTGCAGTTATTTTTTTAGGCCTGCATTTTTTTGGCCTAGAAGAGCAACATATCCGCTGTTTGTTTTTTTCTGATGCTGACTCATCTGCTGGTTGTTCTCAGCTCTCAGATGTTAGGTGAAATGTCCTCACTGTAAGTCAAGGCCAAATTGCAGCTGTTGCGATTTTGAAAATTCCCCCTTTTCAGATCTATTAGCCTAAATGTGAAGTTAGGGCTGCACATTTCTGTAATACAGTCTGTGATATTAACTGAACGTTTGGATGGATGATCTGACGAAATAGTTTCTGAGTAAGCCAGCACTGAAGACACGTCTCACACCTGGCCGAAAAACAAAAACAGATTTATTTGTGCTCCACAGCAGGCGAGTCACACTGGGGACCTTAAAGGCCGAAGGGCTGTGGACGTCAGCGTTTCCCCTCATCTAACGCACTGAATTCGTTTCATGAAGGTCTTGCTAATTAGTTAATAAGTTGAATCAGGTGTGTTTAATGAGGCAGCGCGCTGAAGTTCTGGCCCACGAGACCTGGAGCTTGACGCTTGTGCTCTAGAACAGTGTTTTCAGCCTGTGAGTGGCCCCCCGGTGAGCCATGGTGGCACCGCTGGAGGAGCTGTCATCTTTGTTTATTATATGTTTTTGAAGCCGAAATCTTCACAACAGTATATAGAAATCAACCACACTGTTAATGTTGTGGTAGTTTCTTTACAAAATTCAAACCAAAAATACGTGAATGTGGAAGTCGGGCTCAGTGATTGGTCTGACAAAATGCGCAGCTAGCTAGATATCACTGCTGTCGGAGCAAAACCTTCTTTCAGTTTTTGACATATTGGGGAAATGCCTGTTGATCTTTACATTGTGTGTAAATTTCTTGATGAATGGACCAAAAGAAACGGCCCAGAATGGCTTGGAAAGACGTCTGGTTCCATTGACTTACATTAAAAGTAAAGTAGTCCTTTTCCTGTAAAGTTAGCATTTTGGAGATACGAGGTTTTGGTCCAACAACAGCGACACGTTTATATTATCAGCACAATTCAATGTACGTGTCTATTTTATTTTATTAATTTATATTTTTTTCTATACAGTTGAGTGAAATTCAGTAGGCTGCATTGATTGTTGTGCTACATTTACATTGGAAATAATCAGGCAGATTAAAGCGTTCTGTGGGCTGCAGAAGCTCTGGAATAAACGTTATCATAAAAACTAGAGTGTAGTAAAGAAAACACACCTTATTATCGAGGACATCTTCTTTCAGTGGGACACAGCTGACAGCTTTTCCATAAATAAACGTACTGAATGATAGCACGAGCCACAAAATCAAACGCCCTCCATAACAGAGAGCGGTTGGTCATCCAAGTCAGTGATGTTTGTTTTGCATGTTTGCACTGTTGTTTATGACTCTTCATCATTTTGAATGCTGAGGCTGCAGTGCTGTTCTTTGCGCTGCTGTTGTGCTGTGTATGTTGTGGGATCCATGTAAGCGCTGAGCTTCTCCAAGTCTTGGCTCTGATCATCTCCTGTTCCTCCTGACCTCCACAGACCAGTGTTCTCGCCCTCGTTCGTAGATTTAGGTGTGTGATTTCTGAGACGTGCATGTTTATCTCGGTGTTTTTCAGCTGTCCGAGGTTCCGGACTGTTCCTCGCTGTACAGCGACTACCTGCCTGAGCTCTCTCGTCACCTGGCCGGACAGGTGGAGGAGGAGGCGGGCTCGGGACGGGTGTCGTGGGCGGAGCTTCAGGACATGGACCTGCCCTCGTTTCAGCCTGCTTTCCTGGTGCTGTGCCGCGTGCTGCTAAACGTCATTCACGAGTGCCTCAAACTGCGCCTGGAGCAGAGACCTGCAGGGAAGCCCTCGCTGCTCAGCATCAAGCAGGTGCGTGTCCAGGGCTGCACGGCCCTCGTGCTTCACTCTTAACATTTTGTCAGCTATTCGTCAGTAACTGTGTGCCCTGTGCGGTACTGAGCAACATTTCCCAGCCGCCCACGTCGTCGGCTCAGTGTAGTCACGCATGCTGGAGTTTATGGTAGTTGTAGTCCATCAGGTAGTTTGAGCGGCAGAGAACAGATCCACGTTTTTGAATAAAGTGCCGGGTGGTTGTTTAGTCTGGGGCCGTAACACTAGCAGTGATTTGGGATTTTACAGAAAAAAAAAAGTCCCAAAGTTGTCTCTGGAATCAGGAGCTGAGGCGCCCCCTGCTGTTCAGGCTGCCTTTACTGTCTTTAGCCTGTGTGCTATGTTTAGCCTGCTGCTTAAGAATAAACTACGTAAATTAAAAATAACAATTATTTAGTTTACAGTGAGAGTTACCTGCAGGTTATGGTCATATAGGGTTGCACCAGTGTCGGCGCTCAAACTGGCACTTACACTCAGTATCAGCATCAGCAGTGGATACGTAAACCACAGAGCAGTTTCTGACGCACTACTGAATGACGCTTCCATGCGTAGCAGTAGGTGAATAGCCGTTAGCCTCGCTTTCGCCTTTAGCATAGCAGAAATTTAGATGTGAGAGAACATTCAGTTCTGTTTTTACTGAACCAGATAAGCTGCTGTGTTTACGTTTACACACTACAGGCGTATCTATACAAAAACAAACAAAATAAAACAAACAAAAAAAAGACATTTACTTCAGTTATTAAATGGTTCCTGTTATTAAATAGGGTTATTATTAATTATGTGTAAAACTATAAACACTGAGTAAATATTAGTTAATAAATAAACCTCAGTTAGTAAAGAAACAAACATGTTTTCTTAGGCATCTAAAATGGTTTTATAGGTGTTAATGTGTAAATGTGGTACTACTGTGGCATCACATCACCACAGCGTTTACATGTTTACATGTGGGAGAACTGCTGACTTACAGTGGTTTACACGAAGTCCTGCAGTCATGACGGATCCCTGAGACAGCCGAGGCTGTAGGCCTTCTGGACTGAGGTGTGAAAGTGACTGAGGGACTCACGGCCGCGGTGCCTGTAAATGGTAACGGCTGTGTGTGTGACTGTGTGTTGCAGTTGGTGCGCGAGTGTAAGGAGGTGCTGAAAGGTGGGCTCCTCATGAAGCAGTACTACCAGTTCATGCTGCACGGCATCATTTCTGACCCCCAAGGCCTGCAGACCAACGCCAACATTGACGAGTTTGAGGAAGACCTTCACAAGATGCTCGAGGTGAGTGTTAAACTAAACTGCCCAGCAGTGAGGAGCTGAACTTTACCCTCCTCTGCTGTCACTGCAGACTGGCAGGGTCGCCTACAGAGCAGCGCTGGTAGCTGTTAATGAAGTGATGCTCTTTTTATCTGAGGGTCCCATTTCAGAGGGAAGATCTCAACCACTACCTTGTAACTCAGCTCCAAGGGGTGACACTAGAAAACAAGGGGTAGGGGTGAAAATGAGAAATGGGACTGGGCCCAAATGTTGGTAATATGAGAAGATGAGCAAAAGCATCTTCAACTTGAAGCTGTTCACCTACAACAGGTTTTCCTCATGGGATTTGTGATTCGTTAAGCAGCTGATTTCTAAATTAGCTTCTACAGAGAGACTGACGTGTTATATTATAGAGAGACTGACTCGTTTCTCTTAGGACGCTACAGACTTTCCATGTTTGCTGTTTTTAAGTGGGATGCTGATACTAAAATTGTCCAAGAAGGAGCTCAGGGTCGCGGCGATAGCCTGTGCCCTTCTGCTTTTCTGATAGCAGCTCGAATAACAGTAATGGAGCAGAGTGTAAGGCAAGGCAGCGCCTTTCATGCACAGCAGCAGCTCAAAGTGCTTCACACAAACACGGAAAAGCAAAAGCATTAAAAACGCTTATGGCGTTCTGATATCTGGCACCTCAGAAAGGCGTTTGCAGTAATAGTTACAAAACATAATTACGAAACAAAGTCCTGAAAAACGATGAAAAAAGATGACCTCATCTGGGAGTTTGTTCCAGCAGTTGTCGTCAGAGCGACTGAATGCTGCCTCACCCTGTTTGGTTCCGATGCTGGGCTCTCTTAACTGACCCGTCCCGAGTGATCGGAGAGGCCTGCTGGGTTTGTACGCTTCCAGAAGATTAGCAGTGCATTTCTGTTCAAGACTATTCCGAGATTTATACACAGCTTAGTTACTGTGTTCACTGTGGACATAATCAAGGTGTTCTGGTTCTGAGGTGTAATGTAGGTAAATACCAGCGGAATCCATCAGGACTGACAATCAGAACAGCTGCTTACTTGTTTGTTTATCTGGGAGAGCTTTAATGTGAAGTGCAGGAGCTTTGAAAGTGCAGATTAAATGGCTTTTTGTCTGAACAGAAACAGCTGAGAGGCTGTGCAAGCTGGATTCAGGGGGAGCTTTGTTCCACTGCAGTACTGCAAAGAGCAGCAAAACATACTCTGTAAGCGTTCTTACACGTAAGGAAAGACTTGCCAGGAGTTTTATAGGTACGATTCTTCAGTGAAGGGGAGGAAGCTGGGAGGTGGAGAAGCTGTGATCCATTCAGAATGCTTTTTAGAGGATGAATAGCTTTTGGGGAAGGCTGGGAATTACAGTGATCATGTCTGGAATTGACAGAAGCTTCTGCGGAAACTAGGGCTGCACCATGAGTTTACGAGATAAACGCGTTGTGAATAATGACCATCATCCAAACAGCCAGTTACAAAGTTTCTGCATGCGCGGCTGAAAAGAGTTCAGCCTTTAATTACTGTCACAACCAACATGCATCACTATAAGGAGCTGACTGAAGCCATCACAACTATGGAGCAGTTTAGCAGACGTCACAGCGGTCAGCAGACCCCGACTCCTTCTAGCCAGAGTGAGATCAATGAGGTGTGACAAAGCATCGGCAAGTAATCCAGCTCACAAATCAGCCCCAGATCCACTGTATGACCTGATCTGATATCAGATCTTTGCTTTTAGGCTTCATATCACAATGTAAGATGAACACGGCAGCTCAGTACACAGATCACAGCGATCGGCATATCCTGCCCTCACTTCATCCAGCTGTAGAAAAGTATCAGTTATCTGGCTTGAAAACACACCAAAGTCCACTCTGTGTCCTGTCAGTGCGTGTTTGTCCTCCGAGTTACTCAAGTTTAGCGCTCAGCATGAATGCAGTTGGACAGAAAGCCAATTAAAGCATGCCCACCTTATGATAATCAGTAATAATCAATAGAAAAACCCACCACTGCAGTCTAACACTTAAAGAAAACATATCTGAACTGACCGTTGTTTTCAAGTCTGTACAAGAAAAATCTACAAAATTTATGTGGTGACAAGAAAATTTAAATGGAAAAGCTGCCAAATTCATCAATATATCAAATTTCTGTTAGCATTTACATGTGAAATGATGGCATATCTGAGCAGCCCAGGCTCTCCTGAAGAGTCCCACATACAGTATGTGTGACTGTTACGGAATTAAATAGCGTTTTTGTGCGTCTGAACAAAAGAGGCACAGAATTTTGATGGTAATTTATTGCTTCTCATGTCAGGATTGTGTTGCCGTGTCGAGGTTCAGTTTTAGGTGATGGAGCTCAATCCAGGAATAGATCAGAAAAAGGTGGTCAGATTCCTCCAGTGATGGCGCTGCTCACAGAAACCGTGTTAGCACTGTGCACTGATTGTAGAAGGAGAACTAGAACTAAAGTGTTTATTTACTATCCAGAACCACCAGTGAACCTACACGAGTCTTCTGAGTTTATATGGAATGTTGATGATGGAAAATAGTGGAGAATCTGAAATAATAAGTTTTCTTTGGGGACTATTTTGCCTCACAGCGCCCTGCATGTATCCCTCCACCATGAATGGAGTTTAAGTTCTCTAAACTATCATAAAACAGTGTCTCAGTCATCAGGCAGTGAATTCATAACCATTTCATGTAGGAACTTTCTGTGAGGGAGCTTTTAGAGGTGGACGTCTGGTTCCTATCACCACCACTGTGAACAGTTCTGACTCAGTAAGTTTATCTAGAACAGAGAACCACTCTGAACCTGTTTACATCGCAGTGATTAAATTATGCAGAAAATCTGAAAAATTGGTGGAATTCTCCGTTAAGTGGCCTTGACAGCAGACAAAGACCAAATATTATGCAAAGATTCTTGCGTAAGCATTTTAAACAGTTTGATTGCTATTTTAATCTGTTCTTGGTGGAGGGATACATGCAGGGGGTTGTGAGGCAAAATAGTCCCCAAACAAAATGTAATATTTTGGATTTCTCACTATTGTATTTTAGTGAACGTTCACTCCAGCCGTACTCAGCGGCTCGGTGTTGCGGACTCATCTGAGCCGTCGGAGTGAAAGTCGCTGACAGATGCTTCTGAAGTGAGTTTGAACTGAGCGCTGATGCTCTGCCCTGATTTTGTCAGTCAGTTGTTTGCTCTCCCACAGATGCCCTAATAGGGAAGTGTGTGCAGTCTGTTCTCTGGGAAATCTGCTCAGTGTGCTGTTTAGTCATTTGTTTGCTATTTCATGAAATGTTTGTGCTTTACTGCCCATGCGAGAGGCCAGGGAACGTCACGAACACAGCCAGCATCTGCTTCAGAGCTGGGAGGGCACTGAGGATCTCTCAGCATCCTCTGTTTTACTCAGTCTTACCAAACCACACCAAGACCTGCCCAACCAACCATAGCAGAACCTACCAAACCACACCAAGACCTGCCCAACCAACCGTACCAGAACCTACCAAACCACACCAAGACCTGCCCAACCAACCATAGCAGAACCTACCAAACCACACCAAGACCTGCTGAACCAACCATAGCAGAACCTACCAAACCACACCAAGACCTGCCGAACCAACCATAGCAGAACCTACCAAACCACACCAAGACCTGCCCAACCAACCATAGCAGAACCTACCAAACCACACCAAGACCTGCCCAACCAACCATAGCAGAACCTACCAAACCACACCAAGACCTGCCCAACCAACCATAGCAGAAACCACACTAAGAACAAAGCTAACCTCTGGCAAAGAGGACCACCCAAGTGCTTTGGACCAGAGCGCGTGTTCATCTCCTCTGGTTCCGGCAGGCACGGCGGGAAGCGTGATGTTACCTCAAAACCTGCCGTACTGAAACGGGCTGTTGGAGAAAGCTCCTCCCACGGCTGCCACCTGCACCCAACTGTAATATCGATAATTGGCAATAGCCAGGGGGCGCAAACGGATGATGTGGTCTTGCATGTGATCTCACAAGCCTAGTTCCTCAGGACCAGCAGTGCTAAATTCAGGTCGGGAAAAGTCCTCGCAAGGTTTTTATTCCAGCTGCCCGGACGCCTCTGCTGCTGGCCTGAGCTCGTTAGTGAGCTCGTTCAGCTCATTTGTTGTTGTGAAGACGAAAAAGGGGGCCTGTATACAGTTTTGGGCAGAAATCTGGAAGCTAAATGTGTTTCCGGTCAGTAAGGCTACTCTTTTAATGTTGAACGCAGGTGTACTTTGGCTACATGCGCAGCTGGATCGAGATGTTGCAGCAGCTGCCGCAGGCTTCCCACAGCCTGAAGAACCTGCTGGAGGAGGAGTGGAACTTCACCAAGGTCATCACTCCGTACATCCGTGGAGGAGAAGCCCAGTCTGGAAAGCTTTTTTGGTGAGTCAGTTGTGATGGAACTGATCAGGATAATGATGGATGCCATCTTAGCGCCCAGCTCTGCTTTGTGTGTTGTTGTTTAGCTAGACGTGCTGAATTTCATTTCTGTATGGTTTTCCATGTTTTTAACTTTTTTGGGCTATTTTTTTTACTGTAGCGACATCGCTGGCATGCTGCTGAGGTCCACGGGACACTTCCTGGACGTGGGCCTTCAGAAGAGCCGTGATGAGTTCTGGGCGAGTACGGACGGTAGCACTGCCTCGGATGAGATCAGGTACCGTCAGAACACAGAACACTCAGTAACGTCATAAGATCTGCTCAAAATATCATCAGACTGGCTTTACACAGTGGAACTGCAGTGGCTTGAAACCTGTATGAGTAAGTAAATTGCGCGTGGGTTGCGTAGTGTAAAGCGTCATGCGACTCATTTGAAACTCAGCTGCAACAGTTGCAGGTAACTCAACTTCATGTGAAGCATCAAAATGGCGACAGCGCATCATGTGATCGTGCCGAACGACATACTTTAAGACTACTGATCTCACCGAATCAATGGACGAGAAAACAAAACCTCGTCCTCGGTTCTGAAACCAGCTACGTAAAGCCAACAGCTGTTTAAAAGGCTGCGTTGATTTTTCTTTAGCTGCTGTTGTCTTGATCTGTGTAGCTGGATTCATTGTCTCCTCTGTTGATGCCCCTAAGTTTACCCCGAGCTCAGACTCATTTGGGGTCCAGACGGTGAGATTTATTACAGACGGTCAGTGATGAACTACGGCTACTTAAACGTTCATTAGAAAAGGCTTGATGCACAAACGACAGACAAAATATGCAAATCGCTGCTGTCGGAACAAAACCTCACGTCTCCAGAAAGCTCAGTTTACAGGAGAAGGAGAAATGTTGAGTTTTAATGGAAGTTAATGGAGAAATAGGCTTTTCCAAGTAATTTTGGACCGTTTCTGTTGGTCTAGTCGTTAGAGAATTTTGAGACGACGTAAAGGACAGCTGGCCTTTTCAAATTATGTAAAAAAATAAACAGAGTTTGTCCCAACAGAGACGAATTATATAGTAAAGAGCTCTAAACGACAGATTTATAGATATAGGAAAAAGGACAGCGGTGACAGCTGATAATAAAAATCTGCAAATATGTAAATCACACATCAGTGACTGTCTTTCATCACTGACCTCGTCTCTCCTCTTCTGAAACAACTTTCATCAGTAATGAAATACTGGATCATTTTCCTCAATAAATAAATAACCAAGTCTAATATTTTGGTTCTCTTTATCTACAATTAGGACAAATTTATGCAGAAATGTTGAAAATTCTAAAGGGTTCACAAACTTTCAAGCACCACTGTATGTCGTTTGACGTGAGCGTGTGATGCGTTATCGCCATTTTGACTGGCTGTTTCACGAAACTGTGCTCACAAAGTTGAGGCACTTGCAACTGTTGCAAATGAGTTGCAGGATGCTTTTAAGTGCAGTTTAGTTCCATGCAGGTAAAGCCAGCCTGAGACTCACTGCTGCCCGCTGAAGATGCTGACGAGAGGTTTTATGTCCACTCAGGCGGTCGGTGATCGAGACGAGTCGATCCCTTAAAGAACTTTTCCATGAAGCCAGGGAGCGGGCGTCTAAAGCGCTGGGCTTTGCTAAGATGCTGCGCAAGGTAAGAGAACCAGAGGCCGCACAGGACCGACTCTCCTTCATTTCATTCATTCTGTAAATTGTGTCATTTTGTCACTGTGACACTTCCAGCTAACCGCACCACAGCGATGCTGCTGGCGTTGCAGGCTGAGATCATTGCTGTCGCCGTGCCGGTACAGACCTACACAGAATATAGGTCATTACAGTGAACTGGTGCTGAAACACCTGCAGCTCAACACAGTAACTTCAGAGATGCACAGTCGAATCAGAGTCTTAGTGTTTTCACATGTAGTTCGTTTTAAAAGAACCGAACCGAGTTCTGTTAAAGTGAACCTGGTAGAGAACCAGCTGCAAATGACCTCCGTTCATTTTGTGTTCACAGTGTGAGTGAACTATAAAGAGCACTCGGTTTTCTTTCTGGTCCTTTGAGATCTCAGACCACTTCAGACCACAGCTCCAGTAGAACTCGGACCCCTTTCACAGCACTCAGGTGCGCACAGCGCTCACAAAGTGGGCCGCGTTCTCTGATAAATCTGACCTATCAGGTGGCGAGAGGAACCACCAGACCCGCCTGCTGCTCTCCTATTGGCTGCGCTGAAACGATTGGCCTAAGTGCGTCGCGTAAAATTGGAAACACGGCCCTGCGGGTCTGCGGTGGGCTGCGTGTTCGGCTGTGCTCCTCACTGAAGCTCCGCCCGGCGAAACTCCACGTCGATCAGCAGTGAATTTTCATTCATTCAGCGTTCAGAGTGAAAGCAGCTGAAAACCGCGCTGCGTGCCCAGCTCCAACACGGCAGAGTCACGAGCTCTCGCATCTGATCGCTTTAATAAGGCAGCGCTGCTGTCTGTCTCAGACCACAGACAGACTGTATCCTGAGCAGAACCTCATAAATGACCCTTGGTCTGTTTACCTGCTGAAGAGCTGAAGACTGTGGCTGTGTGTACGCTGAGCCTCGAGCTCTTCAGCATAAAGCACAGCTGAAGCGGACTGGGGCCGTTTTTTCACAGTGTACAAATTAATCAAACCACAAAACGAACTACAAACAAGAGGTGGTCTCAGTCCGGTTCGTTTTCGGGGCCGTTTAGGGGGTCTGAGTTCATTTGCCGTGTTCACATATGCAGAAGAAACCATGACTCAGCGGTCTGAGTCCCCTTCAGACGCTGAAACGGCCCAAGTCTGAAAACACCCTTATCTGTATCGGCAGATAAACTCTTAAAGAAAAATCCGCATCGGACACTAAACTGATCTCTGGTGAGTTGATTGTACTCGTGAAGAACACAGTGTTTGGGTGAGGCTGGGTCACTGAGCTGTGATGTTACTGTAGCTCTCGTATCTCCAACAGGGGAACTTTACAGGAGGAACAACATCCTTAACTTTTAACAGAAGCTAATGGAGAAATGATTTATTCCGCGTTATTTTGGATCACTTCCTTTGGTCCAATCATCGTGAAATTTTGACAGCGACAGTGTACAGTCATATGCAAAAGTTTGAGCACCCCTGTTCAGATTACATGTTGATTTTCTAAGTGACAGTTCACAACAGCAACAAGTTGCACATCTCTACAGAGACACACTTTAATGCACAAACACTGCTTATTTACTGAATTTAACGTCTTAGGAGAGAAGTTAATAAACAAAACGTAAAACGTGGCCTGTGCAAACGTTACGACGCGTTATATCTTCTATTCATTTTTCTCTCCTAATATGATTAAACTCACGTGCCGTATTGATGCTTAACTTAGTTTCACTTAGAAAATCATGCAGTTTGTGTGTGTATATCTTTAAAAACACCTCACTGACTTTATATGCAGAGCCACTTTAATCTGTACATTGTCTGCAGTCGTATTAATCTTTATGGTTTTGGAGCTAAAGTACTAACAGCTGTTATCGCTGCTTTGGACCAGCAGCTGGTCTGTTTTTCTCTCCTGGGCTCAGCGGTTGTAAGTTGTAGCTGTTATATATTTAGAGGGTTATTATATATTTAGGGAGTCTGCTGTACAGTAAAGCTGCCTGTGGGTGACTGTGGTTCTTCTCTCCTGCAGGATCTCGAGATCGCTGCTGACTTCAGCCTGGCCGGTGGAGTGCCTTGCATCCTCCAAGCCCTGAAAGAAAGGAGCTATGTTAAGGTATTGTAGTGCGTGTCTGCTGTGGTGCTAATACAGCGCTTGTTATTCTGTGTGTTTATACATTACGTGTTTGATGTCATCACATAAAGCCAAGATGCCACCTGGCAATATCAGCTTTCCGTTATTTTACGCTTTTAACTTCGGTTACTCAGTTTAAGTAGCAGCCTGGTTGAGTCACGGCTCTGCCCGGGTGTGTGTTAGACCTGGGAGATGACTGAACACAAGCAGGGTCAGACTTTCTGGGTAAAAATGTGCAGCTCTTGATAAAATTGCATGTGGTCTGCAGCAGCTTCGACCTCCTTTATGTTCTTTTGTAATTTATATGTTTTTTAATATTCATTTTAATGAAAAACTTTAATAAAGCTCACGTATTAAATGTGAAGCTGAGCAGCCCAACATCTTTTACTTCACCTGTCATTATAGTGAACATTACTGCAAACACGTGCGTTCATGAGCAGATTCGTGCCGGCTTGCGTGCTAACAGCGCTCCCTGCTGGAGAAACCTTCCAAAGCCGTGCCCGCGCACTTTCCACATTAAAGACATGTTCTTACGGCAGTGTTTTCATAATTCAGCACTTAATCTGTCAGAAATGCTGCAAATCAGTAAATCAGACACAGTGGGGAGTTAGACTCTACAGCAGCTCTGAAGGCCTCATTATTACTCAGGGTTTTAAGAGGAAAAGTGATTAAAACAATGTGTACATTTTATTTAATATTATTTATTAACGTTTTTCTGAGAATGCCAGCTGTAGATGAGGATCAGAGGGACTTTCTCTCCAGGTTAGAGTTAATTTAGCTGCTCTACGCTAACTTTCAGTCATTTTAGCTGTTTTTTACTGAAGTGAGTCAATTTGAGATGAGCTGAAGACCCAAAGCATGCCGACGTTTATTTAAGATTCCATACAGGTGAAGTAAATCAAGGGGAATCCAAAGTACGTAACAGAAAAAACTAAATAAATTAGTCCTCTCTAATTCTCTCTGTTATTTTCCCAAAACAGCAGTTATCTTCTTTTAAATTATCTTCTTTTGAATTATCTTCTTTTAAATTATCTTCTTTTAAATTATCTTCTTTTCTTTTCATCGACTATATCCGACTACACCACCCAGGCCTAGCGTCCATGCTTGTTTATAGGTGCTTCCTGTCTCTTCCTGCAGGTCCAGATCCCAGGCCTCGAGGAGCTCCAGGTGTTCGTCCCTTGCGGTCTGATGGAGCAGCGCTCCACCATCCTGCAGCTCCTGAATGCAGCGGCGGGGAAGGAGTGCTCCAAAGAGCCGGATGAGATGCCTGAGGACGAGGCCTATCTTCTCATGAGCAAGCACGGAGCCGGGGACGCGCCCACAGAGGCCGGCTGGGCCCAGTGGGACGGAACCGTGCTCAAACTGGTGCCGCAGATGGAGACGGTGGACACCTTACGGGCGATGAAGGTGAAATTAGCGAATTAACTGATGCTGCAGTTTGCAGGGCGCCTGTAAAACATCCATCGTCATACTGACAGTTGCTATTATTTTATTAATTATTAGTGTGTAATGTAAACTATTATCAGCCGAACACAAACAGTAAAATGTATTTTATCTTATTTTCTTTTCTTTTTTTTATTTTGGCTCAGGTTGTGTCATTCCTGTTCACTGGGTTCTTGTGCTGTGTCTCTGTGATGTGCTTTAGGTAGAGAACCTGCTGTTGATTGTGATGCAGTCGGCTCACCTGGTGGCCCAGCGGAAAGCCTTCCAGCAGTCCATGGAGGACCTGCTGACCCTGCGGCGTGAACAGACCTCCAGCCAGCCCCTCATTGCCCGGGCCCTCGAGCAGCTAAAGGTAACACGCTCTGCATCACATTACACGTTTAAGGCACGCATGTCAGGGTCCAGTCCTTACAGGCTGAACTCTGCAGACTCACTGCCTCGTTAAACACACCTGATTCAGCTCATCAGCTAATTAGCAAGGCCTCCTTAGATGAGAGTAAACGCTGACCTCTGCAGGTAAATTAGGGATGTTTACGGGTTGAAGGCTCTGTGAACCGTATTACAGAAACCTCATATCTTTTTTAGTCTTAACTTCAGATCTTCAGATTTTTCACAAATTTGTATTACAGAAGCAAATCTTATCTTATCTTACAGCATCTTTTCTTATCTCCTGTTAGGAAACCTTAACCTACTCGTTTGAAGTCGACAGTGGACTGTTGTGTCTGTTACCTAGCAACCGACCCTACGAGCATAGCTGAAATGTAAACACGCAATCAAGTTAGTATGTTAAAAGTTAAGAATATTGTGTCAGCGCCCCCTGCTGTTTATCAGAGAGTCGCCGCTCCCCAGTTTCAGTCTCCGTTTCCCAAACGCTTTAGCCGAGCGCGCTAACGTTACTCCTCCTAATAAACAGACACACGTTCAGCTCCGTCTCCTCATTATTCACCACCATCACTGTAATATTTCATCATCAACATTAACACACGAAGGTGATCAGAGGGACGGTGGAGATCGAGTCTGCAGCGTCTGAGATCTTTAAAAATGCCGTTTTCAGTGGAGATAAATGTGGCGTCGTTCTGCTGGTTATAGTGAACTGGGCTGATTATCACTGCATACAACAACAGAAACAGACGGGTAAACAGAAGGTAAGACGCTCTGAGTTTATCTTAAAGTTAAGAAAATTTTTAGGATATTTTGGCCACTTAGGATGTTTCTGTAAAACCGTTATCTGGAAATAAGATTAGAGACTTCAGAACTGTGGTTCTGTAATAGCTTCTGTCCTGAATTCGGGGGGGGGGTTGGGGGGATCAGAGGCAGGAAAACTTCAGAAAAACTAAACACGTTAGCAGCTCAGCAGCGGCTAAGAGCTCCACTCAGCACTGAGCACGCTCAGCTTTCACTCCAACACCAGCCACTCCGCTCTGCGCTCTCAGATCTCCTCTAAACGGGTTATTTTATCTTCAGTTAGCTAGAACCGAGCCTGCGCTGTGCACATCCGGCCTGCTAACTAAGCTGTCGTTAGCTTAGCCTAAACGCTTCGGTTCCGAACTTCACAGAACAGGTTTGGTTCCAGCTTTCTGTCACTCTCTCCACGTCATCCCTCTGTTAGAACGAGGCTCTGGAGCTGTGCAACAAGATCAACAGTGCCATCAATCAGGTGGAGTACATGTTCACGTCCGAGTTCGAGGCGGAGGTGGAGGAGTCGGAGTCGGCCACCCTGCAGCAGTACTACAGAGAGGCCATGGTCCAGGGCTACAACTTCGCCTTTGAGGTCAGTTCTGTGAGATTCAGTGATCTGCGACTGGAGATCAGCGAAAGTAGAGAGCGTGCCCTGGATTTGACAGTCGTGTGCAAAAGTTTTGGCACCCCGGTCAAATAATGACACTGCGAAATGGAACACAGATATAAATAATAAAAACAGGCTAAATAATCTTATAAAATTCTTACAACAGTGTCGTTAGAAATATTAGACGACTAGATTTAAGATGGTTTCTCTTGTTTAGACATTGATGTTCGCAGTGTTTTGATTTTCAAATAGATTCTGCACATTTTAACTCGTTACTGTTTGGTTCAAAAATGTAACATATTGGGGAAAAACATGAAATGTGGCCTGTTATCAGCAAGTTATGTCATTTGACCAGCTGTGTTCAGACGTTTGCACACAGCTGTACAGGGTCGGCCGTTTCTGCTGTCAGGGCTTGTTTGTCTGTTGTCAGTCTGTGGGTAAAGGGGTTTGCCTCTAAAGTCTCAGAGCGGCTGGTGCCGTTAGTGCAGTGACCCAGAAGGTTTTTGCCCTTTTTTCATCCTGCAGTACCATAAAGAGGTGGTGAGGCTGATGTCAGGTGAGTTCAGACAGCGGATCGGCGAGCGCTACATCGCCTTCGCCCGCAAGTGGATGAACTACGTGCTCACGAAGTGTGAGAGTGGAAGAGGAACCCGACCCAGGTTAGTGTCTTCACTGTGGACGGAACGTTCTGGAGCAGCGAAATGAACTCATAAACCGCATATATATACACGTACATACAAGACGTGGTCAAGAGATAATCAGAAAAGCAGAGCTTAGTTTTGTAGTACAGAACATCATGTTTTTAATTCAAGAAAAGACAGAGGATCATTCAGCCTGTTTTCATTAGAGATGGGCCGATCGGTGTTTTTGGGGCGGATACTGATCGCCTTTCAGCACGGTCGGCGGTGCTGGACTGTTAAGGTCTGTTCACACCAAGTCTGAAATGTTTTCCCGTTTAAACACTTTGATAACTTCTCTTTTAAGCACTGCAACTAAACAGGGTACATTCTAGTTTTATTAGATCGTAGTGCAGCTTTTGATACCACAAGATTTTAGTCCAGCGTCCTGAACGCTGGGTCGGCCTCTCGGGCTCAGTTTTAGAACGGTTTAAATCATATTTAGGTAATAGACAGTTCATCGTTTCAGTTGGAAATCAATCATCAAAAAGATGTGGCGTTTCTTGTGGAGTCTCTCAAGGTTCAGTTTTAGGGCCTTTGCTTTTCTCTTTGTACATGCTGCCTCTAGGTGATGTCATTAGGAAGCATAGTATACATTTTCGTAGCTATGCTGACGACGCCCAGCTATACATTACTATTCCTTCTGATGATCAAGACTCTGCAGACAGACTGACCAGCTGTGTCAGATATTTCTCACAAAATTTTCTACAATGAAATCACAAAAAAAACTGAAATACTGATCGTTGGTACAGAAACTCAGAGAAATATGATTTATGAGAAACTTGGTTCTTTATCTTCATAAATCAAACCTGCAGTGGAAACCTGGCTATGATCTTATACTTTATCTGTAAACACAGTCACTAAAGCAGCTTTTCATCATGTGAGAAACATCACTAAAATTCTGCCTTTTCTCTCTCAGAGCGACGCTGAGAAACTTGTTGATGCATTTGTTACAAGCAGAGTTGATCACTGTAATGATCTTCTTACTGGACTTCCTAAAAAACAATACATCCTCTACAAATCGTACAAAACACAGCAGCATCCTAACAAAAGCTAAACAGAGAGATCAGATCACTCCCGTCTTTAAAAGAGCTGCACTGACTGCCTGTATCATTCAGGATAGATTTTAAAGCTCAAAATTCTAAATAAACGAGCAAATAAATAAATAAATACGTTTTTTCCCTGTGTATGCTGTGGTAGGTGGGCGACACAAGGCTTTGACTTCCTCCAGGCCATCGAACCCGTGTTCATCTCTGCTCTGCCTGAAGACGATTTCCTGGTAAGGAGTCTTTATTTACGTGTCTCTGATTAACGGCTCACAGCCTGTCCAGGTTGAGGACTGAGTGGGTGAAGAGGTTCTTGAATCTCTCTCTGTATGTTTATGTCTCTCTCTCTCTCTCTCTCTCTCTCTCTCTCTCTCTCTCTCAGAGTCTTCAGGCCCTGATGAATGAATGTATTGGTCATGTGATTGGGAAGCCACACAGTCCTGTGAGTGGTCTGTATCTCGGTGAGTCTGTCAGCTCTGTCCTCATTCAAAACACATCATCATCAATACTGTAGGCCTTTATGAGCGTTCAGGATGTGCTCGGGTTCTCGGGTTCTTGAGTTCTCACTTAACCAGCGTTCTAATACCGTCATCACTGTTCGGGTTCTCGAGTACTCACTTAACCAGCGTTCTAATACCGTCATCACTGTTCGGGTTCTTGAGTTCTCACTTAACCAGCGTTCTAATACCGTCATCACTGTTCGGGTTCTCGAGCACTCACTTAACCAGCGTTCTAATACCGTCATCACTGTTCGGGTTCTCGAGCACTCACTTAACCAGCGTTCTAATAACGTCATCACTGTTCGGGTTCTCGAGCACTCACTTAACCAGCGTTCTAATACCGTCATCACTGTTCGGGTTCTCGAGCACTCACTTAACCAGCGTTCTAATACCGTCATCACTGTTCGGGTTCTCGAGCACTCACTTAACCAGCGTTCTAATACCGTCATCACTGTTCGGGTTCTCGAGCACTCACTTAACCAGCGTTCTAATACCGTCATCACTGTTCGGGTTCTCGAGCACTCACTTAACCAGCGTTCTAATACCGTCATCACTGTTCGGGTTCTCGAGCACTCACTTAACCAGCGTTGTAATTGTAGACTGTGACAGTTCGGCTCAGTGTGCGAGTGTGTTGCTCTGCAGATTGTTAAGAACACACACTGTGAAAAACACAGGAGGTATGTGGAGGGGTAGGAGGGGTAGGAGGGGTAGGAGGGGTAGGAGAGGTAGGAGGGGTAGGAGGGGTAGGAGGGGTAGGAGGGGTAGGAGAGGTAGGAGGGGTAGGAGGGGTAGGGGGCGTAGGAGGGGTAGGAGGGGTAGGAGGGGTAGGAGAGGTAGGAGAGGTAGGAGAGGTAGGAGAGGTAGAGGTAGGAGGGGTAGGAGAGGTAGGAGAGGTAGGAGGGGTAGGAGAGGTAGGAGGGGTAGGAGAGGTAGGAGAGGTAGGAGAGGTAGGAGGGGTAGGAGAGGTAGGAGAGGTAGGAGAGGCGACTTCATTAGCATCCAGAGTTAGCAGTTAGCAATAGCTTTAGCTCCTCTGAGGCTGTTATACATATAAAAACCAGCAGATTTTGTTTTTGAATAATAAAACATGCTCTGAAATGTGTTCCTCTGGGTTCTGAACCACTGCTGTCAACAAAAAGGCAAACCTGCCGCTCTGCATTCGTTCAGCACATGAGTGCACATCCCCAAAGCCTCGGGTTCACTAAATGACTTTTAAAGTCTTAACAGGTAAAAGGCGGGGCATCCCACACTGTCAGACTGGTTTCTGCAGATGTTTTTGGGTGACTGAAATATTGGGGATCCACACTAAACGACCAGTTACTCCTTTACTAGGAGACGCAAATAAACAAACATGAGCTGCTGCTGCTGGTTTCTCTGCTGTTTGCGCTGAAACAGTAAACTCAGCTCATTAAAAAGCTTCTCCATTTTTCTTTGTTTACTTGCTGTATTTTCTTCTTTTGATCTCTACGTTCTCATTGGCTGTTGGAGGAGTTGTTCAGATTGAGTCGTTGACCAGTTTACACTAGATTTCACTCTGAGTCGGGTTAAAAAATCGAACGTTTGCTAAACCCTGACTGGTCTGAACCGCGGTAAATCTGAGTCTGTGCCGCTCACACACGACTCGACTCTCTCTCCGACTGTCGACTCCGACTGACCCAAAAATCTGCAGACTAGAGCCGACCAGCTCGGGCTGAGAATCGGGGCTAAAATGGGGGTAAAAGTGGGCTCAATGTGAACGTTGGTCTTATGTGTGAGAGCCGAGTTGATCTTCAGAAGATAAAGCTCTTCTCTTTTACTTGCAGCTCCTCGAAACAGCCCTCGACCTGTTAAAGTGCCTCGCTGCCACAGCGACCCTCCGAACCCGTCCCTCTTCATCCCCAACACAGAGGGCACCAGGTAGGTCAGAGACACACACGCAGAGGAGATGACCTCAGTGGCTGATGAGTGTGTCAGGATGTGATGTGTCTGTTCGCTGTGTCCTTTTCCTGTGAATAGATCTGATGTAATGCTTGTTTATCTGAGCCTTGCTGGTAGTGGACAGTGTGAGCGCTGTTATCACACGCAGCGCCTTACTGAAGTATTCAGACCCCTCGAAAGTGATCAGTGTTTAGGAAAGTGACAACATGAAATACTGTTTGCTGAAATGTTCCAACCTCTATTCCCATCATCAACATTCATATAGACTCAGAAGACTCGTGTAGGTTCACTGGTGGTTCTGGATAGTAAATAAAATGTCTATATTTGTGTTGTAGTCATGGCGACCCCTGGTTCCTATCACCACCACTGTAAAGACATCTGAACCATTTCACACCAAACCACTCTGAATCTCTCTGTTTACGTCTCTCACACACTGAATTATGGGGGGATTTGGGAAAAAAAATCCTTTAAGGATGTGTTTCTGAAGGAGGAGTTCACCCAAAATCACATCTGGTCCTTGTTAGATGTGTTTGGGATGTTTTTTTTTTTTAGGTGCAGCAAAAAGTTGCAAATAGTTTTTAGGTGCAGTTTTGAGACTTTTTCTCCAGTTATAAATGGTTTTCAATATAAATTATAATAAGATTAACGTATATTCCTTTGTGTACGCTAATGAATTTGTCTATACACGTTTCCTCAAAATGATTTTTGGAAACGTTAAAAAAGACATTAAAAGACCTGCTCTTGGGTTCATTGGGTTCATTCTCTTCTCCGTGGTTGGTAGTTTTGGGCTGCTGGAGGACGAACTGCTCTGGTTTCTGATGGTCCCTAAAACCTACACTGTTCGTCCTGCTGTAACTCGTCCACCTTAGTAATAAACGATTGTCAGGTGCGCTGAATCAGGGAGAACGCTGAGCTCTGCGGGCTGTGCTGTCTGCACTGATCGCCTCCTAATCAGACATAATTTAACTTCATTCGCTGAGGCTAATTCTGTGTGCAGCTCTAGCATTAGTGTCCTACAGTGGTGGGTTATGGTTATAATTTCAGCACAAGTGAAGTCAGTCAGAATAATTGACATGATAACTTTGCTGTTATGCTACATGAAACTAACAGTCCAGCTAACGAATCTTAATAATCCTGTGATCAGTTATATAGATATAGCCATAAGGAATGCTGTGTAGGTTGGAGTAAGATTAATGAGTGAGCACACAGAGAACAGCAGAGAACACGTGTTTGCAGTCCTAAAACACACCCAGTGGAAGAACTCCGACCGTTTGGTAATATTTAGAGTTATTCTTTGAATATGGGTTCCCGATAAAGAACACGGTAGAACAACAGGTGTATCGTTTGTAGTCCAGAGAACGTCGAGCGAGCTTTCAGGGGGTTTGAATACTTTTGCAAGGTGCTGTGTATTATAAAGTACTGGCATGTAAGTCATGTGATCATCTCCCACCCCCGACTCTTCTGCTCCACGCACTCCATCCCTGGCACACGCTCCCACACAGATGCTCTGGTATTCTCATGTCCAAAGAACACGCTGGAGCCTCTCGGTGTATCTTTCTACCACAGCTCTCGGAGTCTCCCGTGTGACCTGCGTACCCAGCTATGCCCCCCAGGCCCCCGCCCTGCCCCCCCAGGCCCCCCAGGCCCCCCCTGGGGAAAACAGCACCACCAAAGCTCTCTGCACCGTCCCCAATGAGCACAGGTAGCCAGGTCCTCCCTGCTTGACTCGGAACGGAAACGCGCCGCTGCTTTTCGGCGCCAGCTTCATTATGTGCAGCGTTACACCAAGAAATGTGACCAGATGTCTGATCTTCTGAACCGCAGATCATTTTAGAGCACAGAATTGTTGATAAATCTGTGGTCATTTCTTCTGATTGGCTGTTTAGTGGTGACGTTGGAGCCATGCTGAACATAATGAACCTGATATTTTGAAATGTTACTGCTGAACTGCAAACGTCCCTCTGCGCAGTCGCAACTACCCAAAACCTGAGGATGCAGCTAATCCGGCAGAGCCGTGGACGATTTGCTTTACTTGTTTAGCCTTTGAGTTCTGAATGACATTAATCAGTTAAAGGGCAGATTGTTGCTTGGAGGTGATGTGATAATCAGAGCACTAACATTTCTGCGTTCGAATGAAACCTCTTTCATTTTTTCTTCCTCAGGTAACTGGCAGTTGATGTTTGATGTTGTTGTTGCTCGGTGACAGTTTACCAGCTGTTCCACTGTTAACTATGCTGAGCGTCGACTTTTCAATCCTAACAGATCTCTGAACGGAGAGCGTCACACACTGAACACCAGCCTTTCTCAGGATGTCGTGAGGCAGAGAGAGTAAAACACACAGGACGAGTTTCAGCTCGGATTCCCAGATCTCACTGAGTGTGTTTACATGCACTCAGGAATCCAATCATAATTGGATTTCCGCAGTTATCTGATTATTCAGATGGTCATGTAAACATCACACTCTGGTTTCTTAGATCAGAGTAAGGTCTAGAAACCTGATTAAGAAATCTGATAAAGAGGCTGTAATCAGATTCCTCAGTGCTGTAAACTCTGACTCTGATTTCTTTCCGATTTCTCAGTCTGAGTATGCGTGAAAACAGACGGTGGTACTGGAAATTAGTGCTCAGTTATTTCTGGTACTGCTGTCTGTTTTCACCAAACCAGATACAGCCTTGACGAATGAAGGATTTAGATATTCCTCGTCTTCTTCATGATGTTTGTTCATATTTTCAGCTAAAGTGACTCGATATTTGAAAAAGCTGCTCTTGATGTTTGAATTTTTTGATACGTTTACGTCACAACTTATTCTGTGAGTCTATTGGCTGGTTGTAAAGCAGAAATCAGATTACTGTCTGACTCATGTAGACCTGGAGTTTCCCCATTATCTGATTACTCAAGAGCCTGAAAACTCTTTGATTGGATTACTGACAAAATCTGATTTTGTTCAGTTGTCAGATTAATAAATGTGTGTAAACACACTCACTGAGATCACACGGCACCGATGAATCTAAACTGAACCGGGCCTGTTTGGTTCTGTATGTGTGGTGAAAACACGAGTCTGAGGTTGAACTCGTGACGTCTCAGCGCTGAGCTGAACCGGTACAGAGAGAGACGCCACGTCTGGACTCAGACCTTCTAAAACTGATAGCGGCTCTGTTTAACACGCAGCTCACCTGCTTCCCCTTCTCTCTCCTCTCTCTGCTCTCTGATTGGCTGTTCCTGACTCTGATACTCAGGTACTTCCAGTCGAGCTGCTGACCCGGATATTCCCTTCAGATTTTGAAGTCGTGTAGCGTAGGCCCAGCTTTAGAGGATCTTTATCAGTAGGAGCATTTATGAAAAGCATCTGGGCTCCTGAGTGGCATTCCGGTGGCGTTGGAGTGAGGTCAGGAACCCCGGAGCACAGCTGGTCCTGCTCGCTGTGAGAGAAGAGCAGCTTTATTCCGTCTGCTGTTGACCCGAAGTTGCGTCCGCAGGCTGCCCTGCGACACTGCGGAAGCAGGTTGATGCCGTCTCGCAAAGATTTGCAGGGATGATCTGTAAAAAAGCACTGCTTTAAAAAAAAAAAGTAAAATGGGAGTCGCACTTCAAGCCTTTTCCACCAGAAGCACGTAGGAAATATAGTCTCGCAGCATTTTTCACTCGTGACTTGTGTAAAAACGAAACCATTGCAGAAAATGCAGATTTTGCTGCATTTAAAGTGGTAGCAGAATAATTCAGTCAGACTGGTCAGAAGTCAGTATTGGCTGCAGTATAAACTGGTAGTTAAGTGTAGTTCAGGTAGTTAAGTTAACAAAGCAGTTTACAGTGAAGAGAATCACATTATACACATTAAAAAGTGCTTTTGGCAAATAGTCAGCGTTAAAGAACCAGGGCACACAGTTCTCACTGTACTATATATTATTATATATTTGACAGATTTCAATGTTTGCTTTATAGTTAACTTTATAGATCCTGAAATGATCCACAGCGGAAAAACATGCGATGCGCAGCAGAACGAGCGGAGCCCTCAGAATCGTGACCTGTGATAGGATATAACGGCATTTTGAGCGGAAAACGCTCTGAACGCAGCCTTGATCATCTGTTTTTGTTCATAGAGTGAAACCGTTACAGTACAGCTCTAGGCTGAGTATCCAGCTTGTCTTCTGGCTGTCAGTGCTAAGTAGCTCAGCAGCTCAAATAAATAAACGTTGCTCACTGCTGCCCTCTAAAGGTTAGAGTTAGCTATGTTGTCCTCCTGAGCCCCATTATGTCTCAGGAAATGCCTTTTCTGCTCTTTTATTTACTGTGTTTGCCTCTTAATTCACGTTCTGTTTAAATTGATTGTTAAAGCCAACGGTGGAAAGTAATTATGTTCTGCTTTAATAACTGTATAATTACAGTCTTATGCAAAAGTTTGAACACCCCCCTAAATTCCATGATTTTCTGAGTGAAAATAACTCAGATATCCTCTACAGAGAAAACACTTCTGCACGTTAGATACACAGTTACTGCTAATTTACTGAATTTAAAAATCCAATAACATGAAATGAGGCCTGTGCAAAAGTTATGGCACACTTTGCGTTTAATGTTGTATTTTTCTGTATTACGTAGAAATAAACAGAACTTTTGAACTAAAATTCGCAGTTAAGGTGCTGTACTTCAGCGCGTTCTCTGTAGGGGAGGTGTTCTCTCATTTTAGATCAGTCATCACTAGGGTGTTCAAACTTTTGCGTACAACAGTAAGTTGTGACAGATCTAGAACCGCACAGCTGTGTTGGCATGAGTAACTGCTCCTCCTGCATTGCAGCTTTCACTGTTTAAATATGCATCTGTATCAGTTTGATCCGTCTGACGTCCTCATGCTGATTAATGCTTAGTCAGCGCTAAGAGGTAAGCAGAAATGTGCAGTAGCCTTTGAACTGTGAAGACTGAACTCTTGGGCAGATGCTCTGATGTTTGCTCTGATGTGTGAAGAGATGAGAATGATCCGATTCTTCCACAGCGTCCATGAGAACGACCGCCTGTCGTCAGTGGCAGCCGAGCTTCAGTTTAGATCCCTCAGCCGCCACTCCAGCCCCACGGAGGACAGAGAAGGTGAGACCTGTTTGTGACCAAACAGATTCCTCTGCATTCGCTCCGACAATAACACTTATGATTTCACCGGTTTTCCTAAATTGATACATAATTAAGTAGTTAAGATGTAAACAGAGTCGTTCTCTGTCAGAGCTGTTCACAGTGGTGGTGATAGGAACCAGACGTCCCCCTCTAAAAGCTCCCTCACAGAAAGTTACTACAGTAAATGGTTATGAATTCACTGCCTGATGACTGAGACACTGTTTTATGATAGTTTAGAGAACTTAAACTCCATTCATGGTGGAGGGATACATGCAGGGCGCTGTGAGGCAAAATAGTCCCCAAAGAAAACTGATTATTTCAGATTTTCCACTATTTTCCATCATCAACATTCATATAGACTCAGAAGACTCGTGTAGGTTCACTGGTGGTTCTGGATAGTAAATAAAATGTCTATATCTGTGTTGTAGTCATGGCGACCCCTGGTTCCTATCCCCACCAAACCACTCTGAGTACAGCTCTCACACTGAGTTATGATTATGATCCACACTTTGCGGCTCTGTGTTTTTAGTGTTATTGTTAATGATGTGTTGATGCTGTTGGTTTAACTCTGTCGTTCTCTGTCCTGTTCAGAGCCGTCGTATCCTAAGTCCGACCATGCCGCTGCAGTCCGCCGAAGCTGGGAGCTTCGTAACTTCATTAGCCAGTCCAAAGGTCAGGAGAGAATAAGGAATAAAGTTTGTGTTTTGAGGTTTGAGTGCTGTTCATGAAGGCTACCTGATGCAGAACCTTAAAGGGACAAAATGAAAAACGTGACAGCAACACAAATAAGAACTGAAATCACTGCAGCTCATCGTTAGTGTTTCTGTTTCCGTCGCTTTGTTTTCTGTTCCAGACACAGCGGCGCGTCAGAGTCCAATGGAGGCGGTGCAGCGGGCCATCCGCTCCTTTGAGGAGAAGCGATATGCTGCGCTGAGGCAGCGCAACGTGATTGGCCAAGTGTGCAACACACCCAAGTCCTATGACAACGTCATGCATGTCGGCCTCCGCAAAGTCACCTTTAAATGGCAGAGAGGCAACAAGATAGGTGAGGATGCTCATCTGCCGGCGTTAAAGGGAAATCTTTCAGACTTCCTGCATAGTTCAGGGTCGGAGGTGTAAACAAAGTCGTTCAGAGTGGTTTGGTGTGAAATGGTTCAGTGCAGAGGCTCTTTTACTGGATCATATCAATTAAAAATGATGTGAGTGGGCAAAACGGCCACTAGAGGGCCTGCAGAAAGAGTTCGTTTTGTGGCTGTTTTACATCATAAGAGACAAAAACTGGCAAATA